ACTTTTAGAAGAAGCAGACCCCACCATCAGCAAAACAGGTCCGCGCTCATAAAGATTAAGAAGAGCAGGTTCTTCATCAGAAGAACTTGCTCTCTCATCCTCTTCTAAAAGACATCTGTAGTACCCAATCTAAAATCTATAAGAGGGTCTCTGTGACACTCATAAGAAACACACCATGATCAAATCAAATTTAAAGTCTACCATGAAACCTTTGATTTCTGGTTAAACAAAGTACACTTAGATTTTTTTGTTTGTTGTAGAAACAAAAAAATCTAAGAAAACAAAAGTTTTTTAGCAATCTTGACAAATAAAAAAAACCGCGTAAACTTTTCTGTAAGATTGGTAAAAGGATTTTAAAAATGGTTAAAGTAATTTCTGTCAGCAATCACAAAGGAGGTGTTGGTAAAACAACCTCCACCATTAATATAGGCGCCGGATTTTCAGCAAAAGGCAAAAGAGTTTTGCTCATTGACCTTGATCCGCAAGCCAACTTAACACAAAGTTTAGCAACAAAAGAAAACTCGCCCACGATTTACGAAAACTTGCGCGGTGACGAGCCTATTCAACCAATTAAATACAAAGAAAACCTGTATCTTGTTCCTGCGTCTCTAGATCTTTCTGCGTCTGAAATGGAACTATCTTCGGAACCAGGGAGAGAAAAAATTCTTGCTGACATCTTAGATGCAATAAAAGAAAGCTTTGATTATATATTTATTGATTGTCCACCATCTCTCGGACTCCTAACCATTAATTCACTTACAGCATCTGATGCTGTTATTGTCCCTCTACAATCTGAATATCTTGCTATGAGAGGACTTACAAAATTAACAACTGTCATAGAAAAGGTTGCCCGTAGGCTTAATAAAAAACTACATATAGGCGCTGTGTTTTTAACGCAGTTTGACTCTAGAAAGGTTCTTAATCGCAATGTTGCTGACAGTGTTCAAGAGCATTATAAGGACAAATTACTCAAGACCAAAATCTCTAGTAACATCGCCCTAGCTGAAGCTCCCGCTAACGGTCAGGATATTTTCTTGTACAATAAAAACTCTAAGGGAGCTCAAGATTATAGGTATTTATGTGAGGAACTTTTAGAAAGAGGGGTTGCTTAAAAAATGTCGGGCAAGAAAGATTTTAGAAAGGGATTTGACTCTTTATTAAGTGAGGAGCTTGCTCCTATTTCAAAACCTAAAGCCGCTATAGAAAAAATATCTGAAAGCTCCCCTCAAGAATCAAGGGTTACATATATTCTTCCAAATGAGATTCAAGAAAAAATAAAATGCATCTCCTACTGGGAAAGAAAGCGCATTAAAGATGTAGTTAAAGATATGTTATTATCAGAAATAGAGTCATACATAAAATCTAACGGAAACATAAAAAAAGTCCCATAAAAAAATTATATAAAACCCCTAATTTTCGTTTTTCTGGACCCCACAATCTATGCCACAAATGTCTCTGGGTACTTTTTTGTGTTTACACAGTATTAATCTTTTGATATGTTTCATCTTACTTATTAATAGTTAGCTAAAAAAGGTCTTATAATCTGTGGACCCTAAAGAAAAAATGGTATCATTAAAGGTGGATAAAGAAATCATATCCTTGGTTGATAAAGATCGTTCGAAAGTTAAGACATCAAGAACATCTTGGATTATTCAAGCTATCGTAGAAAGACTCGAGAGGATGGGATATGAATTAGGAGAATAGAAAAAAGAAAGGCTGCGCGGACAAACCGACACCACGCAACCAATCAGCTCTGAAGAAAAAATATTTTCTTTCTTGATAAAAGTCAAGGTTTGTTCGCGTTTACCGTCATTTATTGAAGGAAAAACGTTATTATGAACAACTCTTACGGTCTTAATGACCCTCAAAAAAACATTTTAAATCAATTAAATCATTGGCATTTAAAGACTGGGGATGGCTTTTATAAGTTTCTCTCTCCTTGTGAACACCCCTGGTATCGAAAAGGCGACTCTTGGGTGGAAGAACTCAAACTCTCTGACACAACCCTTCGAAAGTATTTTAAAAGAAT